TTTAATATTAAATTAACCGTACAATAAAGTTTATTATTCTAATTTTTCATTTAGAAATTATCATTAAACTCGCTTCTGAAGAAATCCAAAGACAGCCCTGTCACGTGCAACCTGTTAGTTTTCTAAGCGCTGGTTAAGGTAGACCAATCACAATCGCTTGATTATAGAGTGTAGTGTTTAATTGTGTGACTTTTATAGACATGAATGGAACTAATATTGTTTTGTTTGTCAGGCGCTTTACTTTAAATAAATAATAAATACGCCCAGTAAAGATATGTAGTAAATTAACCTCTGTAGTGAGGAAAATGCGAGTAAAGATTTCAACGCATCCCAATGCTGTGTTCGGATTTCTGGGCCACGACTTGGAAGTGAAAAAAACTGATGGCAAGTTTTCAGTCATCAGCAGTTGCCTCCCACTGGTTAAACACCACGGTCAATATGTTTCCTCAGAGCGTTTCATCATGAAACATGGATTTCATCTGACCAGTTTCCAGTTCATCTGTGTCCTCGTGAGTCTCACAGGGAAACTACGGTTGGCGTGTTTAGTTTGGGGTAAGTTAAGTGGCTTATTTCATGCGTACTTGGAGAAAAATGAAGAAACGTGCTTGACAGATAATGTTTGCTTATGCATTTGGAATTATTATTATGGTCCTGCTTTTGACAACACAGCAGAGTTTATGTCCCCCACACGTTCTCAGTTTAAGACGGCTTATTAGATTTCAGGAAATTAAATTAGCCTCTTATTCATCTCGTTTAAAATTCAACAGGTGCATAAACCGACAATATGCAAAGACACTGTACAAGAAGTCAGATTTGTGTATTATTTTTGCTTTAGCAACACTTTGAGATTTAAATGTTTATTTATTTATTTATTTTATTAATTATAGATATACATTTTATTTATTATTGCTTAATTAAATGACGACTGTAAGATTTATTTTAAAATTAAAGGTGTTGCGCAGTTTAAATCAGCTCTTCCTTTACGTTTTACTCCTATATTTTTTATTTTCACAGATACAAGATGTTGTTGCTTTATAGTTATTTAACTTAAAATATAAACATATGACTACATTTTTTAAGTTAGTTAATTAATTAATTAATTTATTTATTTAACGAAGAGCCACTGTGTGATATATTTTAAAATTAAAGATGTTGCGTAGATAATAAGTTCTTCTTTTGCGTTTTTACTCCTATATTTTTATTTTTCACACATACATTTTTTAAGTGTTTCCACATTATAGTAATTTACTTGACATATAAACAGAGAATATAAGTTTATTTAACAGATAACATATTTATATAACATATAACATATATATATATATATATATATATATATATATATATATATATATATATATATATATATATATATATATATATTTATATATTTATAAATATAAATGAGGAAACGGACCACTGGTTTTGTTTGGTGTCTGTGACTTTGAAACCAAGATATTCCCAATTACTGACGTGCTGTTTTTTCTTTGAATTAGTCTATTGATGCTTCGTCAGATGCCATTATCCCACTCGTTTGCGCTTACCTGTTTGTTTGTTCTATTGTGGGCTTTCTGCATAGTATGGTTGCTCAATTCTGATTGGGCAGAACAAAGGTGTGCTTGCTCCATTGGCTAGTAAGACTGTCACATGCAGAGAGCAGTCATGCATTTTTGCTCTGGGTGTGGGAAGTTGCATAATACATATTTAATATTGCAGCCTCTTGTGATTAGCTAAACAAAATGTTTCAAATGCGATTTCGATTAATCGCACAGCCCTAATTCCGAGCTCCTGAAAAAACTGTACGTATCGCAATGTTCATTCATTCATTCATTCATTCATTCATTCATTCATTATTTTATTTTCCTTTAGCGTAGTTTCGTACCAAAAGGTGATGATAATAGTTAAACATGTCGTTGATGTTTTAGGTTGCAGACACATTTGCTGCTGTTTTTTCTGGATTCTCCTGTGTTTTTTGCGCTTTACTCTTGCGTTTATTCCTTTCTGACAGGATTGGATATCAAAGTGCTTCAATGATCACAAGAAGGTTATTAATATGAGCTCAAAAAGTTTGTTATTTCAAATATATACGCTATCACGAGCTCTCTGGACAAAGTGAAACCGCTCGCACAGACGGGCTTGTAAAACAACAACAGGGCACAGCAGATTTTGTTCTTCTTGGCTTAGTAGCTGTACATCAAGATGACGACAAGGTTTGTTTGAGCTCAGGGTCGACCATTATATACGTTATATATGACCATTATATATCGTTATTATATGTATATAATATTACGGTTTAATGTATCGGCTGTGTATTCAAAACATGGCGGTTCCATTGTTTTCAGTAAGGGTTGGTGCGCGAGCGAATAACATATCGCTGTAAACCAATAGCGTTCAGCTGGATGCCGAAAAAGTGGTACTGTTTGGTTCACTACGCCTTTTGACAGTGTAAACGGCCATAAAAGCGTACCAAACTATACCGTACCTTACCTACCTATACACACACACACATACACTCTAGCCAGTTTTTTAGTATCCAATTTACCTATTGATCTAATTCTTCAATGCGGAAGTGCGCTCGTTTTTGCGATTGTTTTAGAACTTCCGATTCAGTTGCCTATTGAAGAAATGTCTAGGAATAATAAACGGCAGAAAACGGTCAAACTACTCACTCTACAAACAAGTGTGTCCATGACTATACAGTCAAAATTGAATAATATAATAAGAAAATATTAGTTTGCAACATCAAGCAGCAGAACGAGCTGTTTTTAACGTCAAAAAATGAATAGAAGTGAATGAGATTGGAAGTCTCGTGCCAAAAAGATTCAAATGACTGCTTCCGCTCATACCTGGAGAATAAGGTGAATGGCGCATGTCTTTACTGTGGGGGAAACTAGTGATGGGAAGTTCGGATCATTTTACTGACTCAGATCTTTGAGACTCGTTCATCAAGATGAACAAATCTTTTTTCGAGTCATTTCGTTTATTTGGTTCGATTTGCCAAAATATTATTAAAATGTTACGAATTGCTTCCAAACACATCTACAACTAGCCCAAAAGGTTGATCACACGACAAATAAGTCATGAATAGAATACTATAAGAAGGAGAAAATAATACTTCAATGTTTACCTGCTCTTTTGTCTATGAAGGTATTGTTTTCTCTTTGCTCAGCTCACCTCTTCATGTCTTCAAGTGTCAGGGGTTCATTCACGTTACACTGACAGTCACATATAATCTTAATCAATGCACAGTCTAAGCCGATAGGAGCCATGATCTTTCGTTCATCACGTGACAGAATGAGTCACACCCGAGGACTCGAGAGATGAACAGTTCAATTATTTTTCCGGCTCTAAACACGTATGATTGGCCCGTGATGAATGAGTGACTCAGATCCGATAGAGGACTCGAGAGATGAACGGATCAAAACTTTTTCCGGCTCTAAACGCGTTTGATTGGCCCATGATGAATGAGTGACTCAGACCCGATAGAGGACTCGAGAGATGAACGGATCAGAACTTTTTCCGGCTCTAAACGCGTATGATTGGCCCGTGATGAATGAGTGACTCAGACCCGATAGAGGACTCGAGAGGTGAGCGGATTAATTATTTTTCTGGCTCTAAACGCGTATGATTGGCCCGTGATGAATGAGTGACTCAGACCCTTTAGAGGACTCGAGAGGAGAGCGGATTAATTATTTTTCTGGCTCTAAACGCATATGATTGGCTTCTGCCAATGTGATGAAGACTTGAAATTAACGATACTACCTGCACAAATGTGCGCACGCGCGGATGAAGAGGACTCATATTAGGAGTCATATAGGAGTCATATTAAAGATTCGTCCAAAATGAACGAATCTGTCATGAACTACCAATCACTAGGGAAAACCCGAGGCTTCTGGAGAAAACTCACAGGGAGACACAGGGAGAACATGCAAACTCCACACAGAAATGCCAACTGACCCAACCGGGACTCGAACCAGTGACTTTCTTGCTGTGACGCAACGTTGTTAGCCACTAACCCACCGTGTCACCTTATGCCCTCGTGCAATGTTTATCTTAGTAAAGAAATATCACAATATTTCAAGAGTTCACACTTAGCTGATAATCAATAAAGTGTATTTGGCATGCTGTCCCGGGAGAGAGCCCTGAGCTCGTAATATCCTCGAGCCCGGGGCTCCCTCCCGTTAGAAGGGCGAGAGGGGAATTTGAGGTCAGGTAGGTCTCGAGAACTCCCCTGCTTGTCACCGTGAGAATTGTAAACTCAGGTTGTATTGGGTGATAATTTGTTTTAGTCGATTGGCTATGGTTTAAGTTTTTGGACAGTGGGAGGAAACCGGGGAACCCGGGGAAAACCCACGCGAACATGGGGAGAACATGCAAACTCCACACAGAAACACCAACCGGCCCGATGGGTTGGACTGGCGGTGTTCTTGCTGTGAGGCAACAGTGCTAGCCACTGGGCCACCGTGTCGCCCGATCAGAAAAAGTGGGAGGATGTAGGGGTGGAAAGGGGGGGAGCTTCAAGACGAAGATAACTGGAGTGAAAAACTCAGGTTATTTATAATGCTTCCGTAATCATCTAATAGGGCTGATTACGGAGCTAACAAGGAGCCAGCCGTGTTGATTATAAGCACGTGATCCTCTCGAAATTAGTTTATGAATAAACCACACATATTTTTCTGTAATATCGTGCCGCCCTAGTTCCTCTATAAAACCTGATGTCATTAAAGCAATACAGGTAAATATGGACCCGTAAAAAGAGTGAGCGTTCCCTCAGGGAGTAAATCAGCAGGAACAAACAGCAGCTCTTTGAAAGCATCAGGTAGGAGAACATTAACCAGACGGTGCAGTGAACAGCAGTGGCCTCTGTTACTCAAGTGCTCTTGGAAACAGACACCTGAGCCTCCCCCACCCCATGACATCACACGCCTCTTATCTGCTGCCAAACACAAAGCCGCATTTAGCTCGCAGTAATCGGCGCTGTGACCTAACCTGCCGCGCACGGAAGATGCAGGAGGACTCAGGTGTGCTCTCTGCTAATGTTGTTTCTCATAATATGCTGAAATAATGGATTTATGAGCTCCGCTGGACTCCGCTTGGAGGCCTGAGGTATGATGTGTTTGTTGTAATGTGAGGGAGAAATGCATGGGAAATACTGTATGTGTATTAAACCTGTGGCGTGAGTTCGGATGACAGAGATAAATGGGTTGTGTTATTGGTAGCAGAAGTGAAATTAGAATTTATTTGACAGGTTTAAAATCTTTAACTGAATTTTGAAGTCATGTCATGCTGTTGTAGCATGTAGGGATTTTGACAGAAGTGTTTTTGGGTCATCAACACTCTTAAAGATCTTATTGGTCTCTAATGGTTCCATGAAGAGCATTGCATGTGTACTGTGAACTTTTCCTTTGCACTAAATGTACTTTACTTTTTATTGAAATGTTCACACTAGGATAAACCATTGCTCCCTTAATGATTGTTTACAGGTTCTCTGAGGAGCCAAAACAACTTTTCAGTAGCTATGTTTCCATCCAAAAATGCAAACTTTTTGCACAAAACTGGAATATCACATAAAAGACATGCAAATAAAGCAGCGTTTCCATCCAACGAGTCAAATCGAACAAAATTGTCACTTCCTGATTAACCGCCGCCAAATATCACCAGTAAAAACGGTATTTGCTGCGTTAAAAGCTGCATGAATCTTTTCTTCATTTAATAAATGACTTGCACCTCAGAAGACACTTGTCGACATGCAATGAACGTGTGGGGGCGCTTAAAGGTGTGAGACGCGGAGCACAGATGTTCTTGACTACTCTGGAGGTAATTAAACATATATTAACACTAATACTGAAATGGTGTCTTAGAATAACCAAAACAACATTTGAGATGCTTTATAACAGTGGTCACCAAACTTATTCCTGGAGGGCCGGTGTCCCACAGATTTTTGTTCCAACCCTAATCAAACACACCTGAACAAGCTAATCAAGGTCTTACTTTGTATACTTGAAACATCCAGGCTGGTGCGTTGAGGCAAGTTGGAGCTAAACCAGGACCGAGATTGGTGACCCCTGCTTTATAATGTGCCCAGCCTGCGGGTGGTGTGTCCATTCACACACATTTTTATCCTCACATGATCTCTTATAACAAAATCACATGCCTTTTTTTTTTTAAAGCGCATGCTGGAATTTTTTGGTAAAAGTGTTTCCGTCACAGTTTATGCGCATCTTTTCTTATAAAATAAAAAGTTTATTCTACTCCGTTATGCACATACATTTTTTACACATTTTTAAAATGTATGCGCATCTTGGCGTTTCTATCAACCAATTTTTTTATGCGCACACCCAAAATGTTCATAAAAGTAGGTGGATGGAAACATAGCTTGTGGCATTGCTGTAAACCCCCCCCCCCTTTTCTTTTTAAAGAAAGCGGAGGATATATATTTAATAATATTTGGTTAAAATACAATAAAATAGTGTGAAATATTATTACTTTTTCAAGATGTAATATAAAGCAAATTTTACACTAGTTTTGTTTTACACTGTAAAAAGTTCATTTATTCATCTTTTACAGTTTATTTTCAACAGGGTATATGCACAGTTAGTGTTTTTTTTCTCCTACCGATAAACTTCCAGAGAACGGTTAATGTGACTTGTTTCAATTTTAGATACTTTATATTACAGCATTAATGTTGTAATCAGACCCCCTAGTTTTTAACGATTTTTTTGTGTGATTTTATTATTTTTTTTGCAATTAAAAATGACTGATTTTGTGGTGGTAATTCCCAGAAATTTTCGACTATTTTGCGTTTTAAAAAATATATATGAATGCAAAAAAAATATACGTATTTACCCTACGAGGTCTGAAACATTGACAATGACACAAGTTCTAAAAATAAAGCTTCTATGTTTTGGTCTCTTGTCCAGACAAGATCTAAAATGGTGGGAATTAAGCCAAAGGAAGGTTGTATCACTCTTATTTTTATCCACAATCTTGCTTTCTCTCAGATTTCACTCCCTGGAGCATCTGACATTGTCACACATAGGACATGCATTAGGGCTTGCCCTACCATAATACACCTAAAACACGGATTGCTGTACATCTTGTCAGTGGCTGGGAAGCGTTTTCTTTTGTTGACTGCAGGGAAAGAGTTAAATGAAATCATTTATCGTTTTGACGCACACCATACCAGCCCTAGATGTAAAACACAACTAATGTTTTTCAATTCGGTCACGTAAAGCAGCCGTCACCCTTGAATCAATCTAAACTCCACCTGTCTGTTTCATTGCTCCGTTTGCAACTTTCTTTTGCAGTCTGAAGCACATGAAACGCCCAATACGATGTCTATATCTCTTCTTTGCTATGGCTTACTGCGCAGGCTGCAAAACATCTGCCCCTCTTATGTTAAGTAATGCTTGTGAGGTCGCAGGTTAGACATGTGCACTGCGTATACAACGTCTATAAGTCAGGTAAAATAATAAAATGCAAACTGAAATAAATATATATTAAATATATTAAATAAATATAATTTGATTATATGTTTTGGAATTTGATGTTTAATGATCTTTTTTTGAATGACTTTTACGTTTAATTAAGAATTTTGCAGGATTGCAACAATGTTCGCACTTTAATCTTGAAAAACTATAGAGGGTCTGTGTAATGTATTTAAAATATAATCAGTTAAAAAGACTTAGGCATTAGTTTAATTGTTCACTTTATATCGTATATACTTGGTCACTGTAAGTCATTCTTCATATACTCCTATACCAGTGGTCCTCAACCTTTTTATCAGGCCTTGACAATTTTACATAGGTTGTAGATGGCTAGGTCGACCATCAACCATTTTCTCAGAGGATGGTTAGCTGACAAAACATTGCTGCAACTCTGATACAAGTTTTATTTATAGAGAAAATTACAAAGCACTGCAGTGTTTGGATGTCCTGTGTTTGTCTGCGATTATTAGTCTACCGAAATGTGCATATTCCATACAAGCTGAAGCTATCAGGTCAGTCACGTGACTCGCGGTGTGCTCGCAGGATTCATTCAACTCATCTGGAAGGAGCAAGCCGCACACCTCCATTGTGGTGCTGTGGCGCTGATAACAGAAATATATAAAGGAATGTAATACAACTGCGGCAGTCATTGCCTTGATAATGTTAGTATAATGTAAACAACAATATGATCAGATAATACTGTTTTTTTTCACTCATTTTTATCAGGTATAGTACTTGTCTGGTATAGCATATATAAGTAAACCCCTCACAAATCTAACTTTTGAATTCATATTTATAATAGGAAGCTATACAATATTATATTTGTGCATATACTGTACATTAGATTAGTCAGTACTGAAGCCAAATCTGGAGCTTATCCCTGGACAATATCCCTTTGGCTAAATTGACGGGTCGAAGGTATGTTAATGTAGCTTCCCTCGTTCACTTGATGAACACTCTTAAGTGTGTCTGAAGTGTAATGCAGCCTAGGCTAGTTATTAAACAGTAGATAGTGCTCTAGGTTAGTTTTTAACAGTAAATGGTGCTCTAGGTTAGTTTTTAAACAGCAAATGGCGCTCTAGGCTAGTTACTAAACAGTAAATGGTGCTCTAGGCTAGTTTTTAATAGCAAATGGTGCTCTAGACTAGTTACTAAACAGTAGATGGTGCTCTAGGCTAGTTACTAAACAGTAGATGGTGCTCTAGGCTAGTTACTAAACAGTAGATGGCGCTTTAGGCTGATTATTAAACAGTAGAAGGTGCTCTAGGTTAGTTTTAACAGCAGATGGCACTCTAGGCTAGTTATTAAACAGTAGATGGTGCTCTAGGTTAGTTTTTAATCGCAAATGGTGCTCCAGGCTAGTTACTTAACAGTATGTAGTGCTCTAGGTTAGTTTTAACAGCAGATGGCACTCTAGGCTAGTTATTAAACAATAGATGGTGCTCTAGGTTAGTTTTAACAGCAGATGGCACTCTAGGCTAGTTATTAAACAATATATGGTGCTCTAGGTTAGTTTTAACAGCAGATGGCACTCTAGGCTAGTTATTAAACAATAGATGGTGCTCTAGGTTAGTTTTAACAGCAGATGACACTCTAGGCTAGTTATTAAACAATATATGGTGCTCTAGGTTAGTTTTAACAGCAGACGGCACTCTAGGTAGACCGCGTGATCAGGGGGCCCCGCGTTTTTGTCATTGATTGATTTGACGCACATCATAATACCAGCCATACATGTAAAGCACAAATAATGTCTTGTGGTCGCCACCCTTGAACCAATCTTATCTCCACCTGTCTGTTCATTGCTCTGTTTGCTCCAACTTTTTTTTCAGTCTGAAGCTCGTCAAACGCACAAAACGGCCAATTCGCGCCATTAGATGTCTATATCTCATCTTTGCTATGACTTCACATGTAAATAATTTGCGCTTAATCTGTATCAAAGACTAGAATACACAAGATATGTCACTCGTATACTTTTAAATGGGGAAAAGTATAACTGTCAATATGGCGAATGAAGCCTCGCTTTCTAATACAGGAGCCTATCAGTGATCGCTAAATGGTGAATAAAGCCTGCCTTCTAGTACAGGAGCAAATTAGCGATCGCAATAGAATGACAAATCTCTGGGGGAGGGGCTCAGACCAGGCTTTGTTTAGATCTGCTTACTGCACAAGCTGAAACCCCATTTTGTTCGCGCGTCATCACACCCACGGCGGGATACCAAACATGGGCAAAGAGGCGGAGAGTGAGCAGAGCTACAGACGCATGCTGCATTTTGCTTGGACCTGGTTCAGACACCTGGTTTACTTTGGGAGAACGCTTAATACTTTATCACTTGTGACTCGTTTGTATTCTGACCACTTGTGCTTGGTTGTACACTATATCAATAAAGTGTTTAGTCTTTTAAAAACACTGCTGTAATACATTGAGCCACTAAACATTGTTCTTATGACGTTTCTCAAGAGGAGGAAAACGCGAATTACATCCAAACACCTCAGATATAGTCTGTATTAGTTAATGTAAGACTATTAATGAAATCCAGCATAACACTGTATGACAACGCTTCAGATGACTGTTCTAGAGCCTACAGCTAATCAATCTGACAGATTCTGGAGTGCATTACA